TCATGTCCTTGAAAGTCAAGCCTGCAAACGTAGCCAGGCACAACATAGCTTTCAGCGGGCTGACTCCCCAGTGGCCCAGTGGCCCGTACACACGCCCAGACGGAGTGTTCCTTCAAAAGGGCAAATCCAAAATTAGGTTCTGAGTTCGTGAAGCATTCAGTTAGTTGCAATGTGGGCAGGCTGATATTCAACAATTGATTTTGTGTATATGCCTCAAAGCTGTTTCACATACATATATATATATATATAATATATATATACATCATGGAGACCCCATCTGCGTGTTTCTCCACATTGGTGACTCAGGTGTGGCTGTTCTTGGTGTCTCTTTAACTTTTAGTGGGTTGAATGGAAACCGCCACTAAACCAACTCAAAAGGATCCAACAAGCTACGTTGAACCGGATGGCTGGGCTTGCCACCCGCCGGCCTTTCCCCCGAAAAAAAGTCACCGGACCAAAGCGCCGTCCGAAGCGCGTGGACGCGCGTGACAAATTTCGAGGGCCGCGCCCAGGAGTACCACACGGACAAGAGGTTGGCCATGGCCTGGAAGCACCCGACATTTGGCCATGGGCTTTTAAAAATCCAAATCGGTTAGCCCCCAGTGAACATCCGCTTCAATCCAACCACTGAAATCGTTTCTAAAATGGGTGGTGCACCTTTTGGGGACCAACTTTGCAAGAAAACCTCGGTGGCCTCGGTAGCTCCCAACTTTTCTTCTTGATGTTTGTTTTGTTTGTTTTCCAACCATAGGATGCTTGATGCTCCTTTGGCAGGGGTCACTGGATTTCCCCGAGTTTAAAGTCGATCAATTCGCTGGTGGTTTCACTTTTGTAGCGATCGCCACTTTTGGCGGTTCCAAATTTGGGAAACTGAGGAAACCCCCAAGACTATAAGTAATTCCAGTTTCCACCACTCAACAATTCTACCTGCTTTGCTGTTTGACCGCAGCCGATAGATTCGGGGTGCTGGCAGTTTTAATTGACATGTTAGTCTGAGGGGTGTGTGTGCGCGCGCGCGTGCTTTTTGGGTTGTTCTTTCTGGGGGGTCAAGATTCAAGGGGCAAAGTCCAGGTGTGTTTGCGGAAATCAGGCTTGGTTGCAAGATCGTTGTCCACGAAGGGACCGTGGCCCAAGAGTAGCCAAACCAGGCTAGTTTAAGCAACAGCGGTGGAAACCATGTCTTTGACAAGGAGATGGCATCCTGCCCGATCTCAAAATGGGACCTGACTTCAAGTTGGGTCCTGGAAAACGGTACCTCTTTGGGTTCCATTTTGGCGGAAGGTGAATCAGTCCTTGTTGGTATGCAGATTGGGATTTTGGGGAGGGGTCCACCATTAGGCAAGCCCAAAGGGAGGTGTTTCGTCCAACATCGCCAACGGCTACTGTACAAGTGAAAGGCCATTCTCTGTCCAACATCTTAACCAACGTCAAAGCACAGAAAAGTGTTCAGTCTACGAATCAAACAGTCACGCAAGCACCCAGGTTTGTTGACTCAAGCAAGGGCAACAATCAACTTCATCAATTTCAGAGCAATCCACAGAACATCACACATCAAATACACGTCTGAATGGCAGGTGCCAGGCCAATTGGGCATGTTCAGCAAACTACACTGTGCAAGTGTCATGTAAGTAGCTTCTCGGTTGAACCTCTGTCTTCCCGCTCCATCTCATCTCTTCCCATTCTATCTGCAAATCTTACAAATCCGTCCGAAAACCGGACAAAGGATCACCAAGCCCATAACCTTCATTCTGGCAAGCTCGCTCTACCCGGCATATGAGCTCGCCGGAAATCGGCAGATGCTATCCCATTCGAAAGGGCTCCTGCCGCGCCTGCGCCGCGGGTATGTCCGAGCCTTGCATGCGAACAGGCTGGAGTTGGCCCACAAAAATGGGGGGGGGGGGGGGGGTTGATGAAAAGATCCGACATACCGGTAAAAAGCTTTGACATGTATGGGGAAAGGGTCCCGGGTTTATGTGGGGCCCAGGAATATTGATCAACCACGCCACAACTCCCGGGTGGTGGCCCTGAAGGAAGCAAACATCAGGATTTTCCGGCGTGGTTTGATGCAGTCTGCTGAAATGAGCATTCCGACTGGAGGACACGAGCCTCTTCGGCTAGTGAGCACGAAAACTGTGCCTCACTGCCTTTGACAAGCCCAAATGATAGAATTAAATAACCTCATGTAATTTGCTACTCCAGCATTGGAAGGGAGTGTTTCGCGCGTCCAATCGTCATAATTCACCAGTCCGGATGCGGCAAGTCAAGGCAACGCCTTCTTTGCGAGGCATTAGGGGCATATGATGCGGCATATGTGACCTGTTGAACAAATGGATGGCCAGGGTAAATGCAATAAAACCCATGCCCATGCATCTAAAAACGAAGGTATGAGTACAGGCTCAAAGCTGAATCGGAGGCTGCCCTCATCAATAATAGACCGTCAAACCTTGAGCGATCAGCCATCTCTCAGCCCTTTTCAAGCCAGGCCGCAGTAGTTCTCGAAAGCTCGGAAGTTTTCCTCACCTCAGCAAGTGAATGATGCGAGACACGCGGTGAATTGCTGCTTGAAGCATGGTCTTTTCTCAAGGTGACGATGAATCTTCAACATGTCTCGCTCTGATTGGCGCAAGTGGGGAGAGGGGTGCGGGGCTTGTAAGGGTGTATCAAACAGGTCTGCAAACTGTACAACCCAACAACCTGAAATAATCAGACTTGGATCTCAATTGGTAAAAGGCATAGAGGGCGCTCTTGACCTAGTGCGCTCGCCGTAAAATGGATGTAGGTGTTTGAGGATACCTCTTGGTGTGGTGAAGGGAAGCCAACAATTGACTAGTCTCACTTCCTGAGTGGATTGTGTCAGACAAAGAAAAAACAACTTGTTGTTTGCCACTAAAACGGTCCAAAACTAAAAAGTGACTAAAGTCGAAGAACTCGGGAAGTGAGAAATACACACCCAAAAAGACAACCAGGTGCCTTTGGTTGCCCCGAACGCCAATGTCATCCAATGTCTCAACTGTCAAACTCAAGCCAAACTATCCATTCGAGCCCTCGGCAGTCAGCGGCCAGCACCACCTGTCGCAGTTTTCAGCCGAGGGTTTGGAACCAAAAAACGTATACTTGGACCCTCAGTTTTCCCGTTACAATGGGTGAACTCCCTTTTTCATAAGTTGAGGGTCCAAGTAGGATGTTGATCCTGCTTTGGTTGCTGGATTTTCCCGAGTCAAAAGCTGATCCATTGAATGGGGGGTTCGATTTGGCTTTTGACGCATGGCCGAATCTGGCTATGAATCTTCAGCAGAGAAAGAGGGAATGACCCCCAGAAAAACAGGGGGGGAAAAAACACATCCCCGGTTTCCTTGAAGGAAATCCCCGGGTTCATTCCCACAACCCTGGGTCCATTCCCTGAGCACCAGCCAGATGATGCTCATTCAAGGGTCCCTAATCAAGGTTTGTATATTTGTTGTATCCCCAAGCCGGAAAATTGCAGAATCAATGTCGCAAGCAGCCAAAGGAGCATCAAACATCCTATACCAGAGTTTCCTCCATTTCCCTTTTTGGAACCTCCAAAAGTGGCGATCGCTTCGATGGAACATCCCAATCCAACCACTAAAATAGGATTCTAAAATGGGTGAATTCACCTACCAACCAAAATGGGATCCCAACACAATCCCCACAAAAATAGCCCAAAACGGGTGAATTCACCGAAAACCCCCCAAACTGGGATCCACCACAACGGTCAAATGACCACCGCCAGCTGGACCACCGAAACGGCTCGCGCACTCGAAACCTGAGGCCGCCGCCATCCAGGCGAACACCTCACCGCTGGTGATGCCGACCGACGGTTCCGGCCAACGGACCGACCGACCAGGGAACCAGACCTAGGGAAGAAAAACAAAACGCGCAGGGAGCCAAAACAAAACGGTTCATGCAATGGCTGTCCGATGGCCTGGGCTACATGGGCGAATGGCGCATAAACCATCTGATAGCTGTAGGGTCCTGGCTGGTAAAAATGGCCACAATTATCAGAGCCCCCCAAATTGGGGCTCAGCTTGAGGCAACGATCCATAGTTCCGGACGTTGACTCTGACGCCTGCGCTCACAAATGGTCTCGCCATCTGGGGCTGTGGCCAAGATGGGCATCGAAGCCGACACCAAGCCCTGGGTAATGTAGTACCCCACCTGAGTCCACAGTCCAAGCCTTGCTTTGGGAGTGTTGATTGCGGGATCCGGGTCTAAGGCCTAGCAACTCCAATGCGCATGCAACGCGATCAGTGTGTGCGGTCACAAACAAATAAGCAGCTCCACCCCAAAGCTTGCAAGGCCAGCACGCCCCGGTTTGAGATCAGCAAAACAACAACTGATCCAGCCTCATTTGCTTGGTTCGCCAAAAAAATGAGGATGCTTCAATCCAAGCTGATATCTGGGTGAATTAAAATTTCACCAGCCTGAAAAAAGGTGGTTGGAGGGATATTCCCCACATAAACCACCATTTGGGGTGAGGATTCACCCGGTGATAGAACTGGCTGATCCTGACAGCCTCAACAAATTATTCCTTGCTGAAGCTGAAAGTTCTTGTCCGACGATTGGGGGAAGCAGGTCAGCCATACGAGACCACTCCTCAACATGGACCAATACAAGTTTACGATTCACCACAAAAGGCCAATTTTCGGTCATCTCTAAACCTGCAAGAGACGTGATGAACCCGCTGAATGAAGCGTCGTTTGCCGCGCAGCAGGTCCTGCACAGCAGAACAACTGGCCGGCGCTTGGTAACCTTGTTGTTTTTGCATGCGTTCGCCCATTTGTTCGTTGATCCGTCGACTGGTGTTTTAAAGAGGCTCGTGGATAACATGTGGCACACTGCATGCCAAGTACGAGTTAAAGCACACATCGAACAGCATTCAAAGAAATACCCTGCCACATACCAAGCCCCTTATCAAACGGATTGTGAAGTGCCCCACAGCCAGTAAGGGGCGGTGCGCGTGTGTGCAGGATTGCTGAAGACTATAGATTCAATTGGCCTGTGTTTTGCTGCTGCCGAGGATTGGTTCGTCTCACCGAGCTCAAGGCGTGAGCGTAGTAGAAGGTGAACGCCTCTGGCAAGTGTAGCAGCTGGTGCAATCGGAACATCTGCCTGGGTGGCATCGAGTTGTCGTCGCGGTATAGCTCGGTTGCGAATTCTGCTCCCCTGCTAATAGTTTAACTTTCAGTGGTTTAATGGACACCCAACAGTTGGCAAAATGTTAAAGTCCTAACATCCAAGCAAAACGCAACAAAGATAATGTGTCAAACTAGGGGAACCCACAAAATGGGTTGTGTCCCTTTGGCTTCCTTCTACCGGGCAGGGCACCCTAAGACACAACAAACAGGGAAAAATACGACCCCCTGCAGGTTGGCAAAACACAAGTTGCACAAGTTGACTATCCCCAACCTAGCCCCCCCCCCCGCCCCACAACCTAACCTTTGGGTGCCACACTGCCCCTACTTTGACGCATTTACTTTGGATGTGGACCCCCAAAGTTGTGCTAAACCCATTGGTCTCAGCTGAGAATGGGAAACGTGGGGCCGCCCGGTCTGGTTGGCATTTGAAGGTGCAACAGAAGGGAAACAACCAAAAGCAACCCAGCCACTTTTTGAAGTTCAGACACTCAGTCTGGAAGTTTTAAAACTTCCAACAACTTTCAGAAACTTCCTAAAACTTCCAACCACTAATTCCACTTTTTGTAAAACCCGACAACTTCCATGTGGAATTCATGGCTCCATGCTCCAACTCTCCAGCCCAGAACCACCCCCCAAATGAGTCACAATGAAAACCTGACCAAAACCCCGAAATGAACCAAAAAGGCCGGTCTCGATCCGCACCAAGTTGATTCCGGTTGCCCGGGTTTTCACCACGGCCATGGGCAAAAAAAACAAAACAAAAAACCGCCGCTTTCGTCGCCGTCCGACATGTCCCTCGCGGCCCAAGGGCCGGGTGAGGATCTGCTCCCCGGCGCCGCTGGAGAGCTTCGAGAAGAAGCCCAGGACCGTGTTGAAGCCCAGGTCGCGGCCCTTCCTAGCCCCGAGGAGAGTCGGACCCGTTCTAAAAAAAAACAAGCTGGGTGTGGGTGAAAATTGAACCAGCGCAGGTTTTAGCCCTTGAGGTTCCATTTGCCGGGGTTCCCAAATGAAGCTCCCTCAATTCTTGTGTTGTTCACAGTAAGTACCTTCGAAAAAAGAGAGAGTCCCCCTATCGTTTTCCAGCGGTTGGTCTGTAGCACAAAGGTATTGTTTTTTTGAGTCCCCTATCGTTTTCCATGGTGTCAAGCACCTTGAGCTATATGGATGTTGAAGTGTAGACTACCTTCCTGTTCCGTAAATTCCGACCGCGCTTCAAATGGGACCCTAAAAGCAAAAAAAAGTGGAAATGGTTGAAAATTAAACCACCAGGGTAGCGCAGGTTTTGGTCCTTGGTTCCATGTACCAGGGTTCCCAAAATGGAAACCTATTTTTGACACAGCCAAGTGACGCTGAGGGGTCCAGACCCCAACAAAAAGAAAAAAGGACCCTGCATGGACGCCATAGAAGCGTTCGACGGTCGACCTTTTGGGGCGGACCCGTCTGTTAGGATCGGTACCCTGCTGACACATGAACGCGGTGGAACACGAGGTTGAACGGAGAAAAGGAGGTAGCCTCCTGTCCATTATATAACATGGAAACTGAGGTTTCGTGGTGGACCCCTTTTTGGGCTAGAAATACCTCCTGACACCACATGGACGCCATAGAAACTGACAAACGGTTGAGACGGGTCCTGGTTTTGGCTTGGACCGTGCTCCTGGAAAAATGGACTATTTCTCTGGTAGGTTCCACGCTACTGGGCAAAAGGGTAGGACCAAGCCAACCACCGACTCATTCTCAGAGGATTTTGTGTTTCTGGACTCTTCTTGGGATTCTTTTTGGAAACATGGGCTGCCACTTTTGGAGGGTACCCTTTTTGGGGTTGTGTCAAGTGAAACTAAAATGAAAAATTGCACTTTCTTTCATTTTGCGGGGGGTGTCCCTAATCGGTCCGACACGGGGCTGGGTTCATTGTTGAGGCTGAAAGTTAGCATCCTGAACCCTGGAATCTGCTTGTCCAGAACACCAGCAACATTGTAGGGGAAATGTCTGGGTTTCGGAATAAAAAGGTTGAAAGGAACAGTTGGAATCCAGCCATTGGACCAATGCTCATCATCCATCTGGATGGAGAAACACTCTAAGAGTTGGAACCACCTAAGCCTAAGTGGGTGGACTTGAATCGCAACCTGAATCAATGTCCACCAAGGGGTCCCTAGTTCAAACTGTTTCGAAGGCTGGGTTCCATTGGCCAGGAGAAACAAGGCATCTTTTTTTTGGCTGCTTGAGTTTAACCGGAAACCCTCCCCCCAAAAGAAAAAAAACAAAAACAGAAAAGAAGAAGAAGAAGAAGAAGAAGAAAAGGAAGAAGGCGCCACTGGGCATCTGGGTTCCAGGGTGACATCTTGTTTCTAACGTGGCGCTGGGTGAGCTGGTTTGGCAACTGCCTTAGAGAGGTTGGTAGTCCAAGTCCCACAAACCAAGCTTGGCACACCACTTGAAGGAGCCACTTGCACTCCAACCTTCCTAGGGCTTTTGTATTAAATCCTGGGAATACACTCACGGGGTATTGACCCCATTTAGGCACATTTCCGGAGAAAGCCGTGTTATTTTGAACCATTCTGGGTCATTTCCCAAGGGTGTAATCCCAGGGTGTAATACAGAAACCCTCAGAAACCTGCAAATGGCAAAGCTAGCCGAAGCCAAGCAAAGAAGCCAAACCTGTTCCAATACGCGGCCTGGAGGTTATTCGCAATCTGGTGGCCTTCAAGCACTCAAACCACCTGAAGACAAGACAGGAGTCACAATCAAAACCGATCAAGACCTAGAACCATGCAAAGAATTCACAAAGCGGATATCTGCACCCATTTATGGTTAGGATTGGTTAGGATTAATCCCTTACACTCCCTTATCAACCTTACAAGTTTTGATTGTGGCTCACCTAGACTTAGAGGAAAGCGGAGCACGCCTTTTGTCTTGGTCATTTTGGGCAAGCAAGCAACCAAAGAAAATGCGCAAAACCCACCCACAGTGGGGAAGCAACCATTTGTGCACCCGCTTCTTTTGTTCGAGCGTCGCTACGTGGAAGTATTCGCAGTGCTTGATGCTTCGGCCCTGGCCCCGCAAGGTAAAATCCATGCCCGCGAAGATGTCCTCCGAGAGCGAGGAAGCTTTCAGCAAAGTCACTCCAACTAGGTGGGTGGGTGCTTTTTCAAGGGTACCCTTTGCAGGTTGCTTTCAAGGGACACCAAAAGGGAAGCACCAAGTTGGGATGTAAGCACTTATGGAGTGGATTGGCCAACAAGAAGCACTCAAACCTGCTGGTTGAAGTTCAGGAACTCTGGGAGTACGTTGGCTTTCAAGCGAGAACGCGCAATCCAACATCGGCAATACAGAGTCCACCAAGAAACTGAGACGAGACCAAACAACCCTCCAACAGATTCGACTCAGCGAAAAGGGCTGAATTGATACTCCCCTTCGTCTGCGTGAACCCGATGTGAATCTCCAGAGATTGATTCCCTGGGGGGGGAATCGGGCTTTGAGTTTCCAGCTTGCGAGCATTCAGAGGTGTCACTTTCGAGGGTTTCTCGGTTCCGTGGTTTCGGGGGTTCCCACGAAAAGCTCCGAGCATGAGAGAAGCCCCTGCGAAAAATCGTAACCACTCCATCAACACCCATTGAGACCCAGCAAGTAACCATTGAAAGGAGCCCATGTGAATCTCTGATTGATCCGAGTAAGATTCTGCGAATGGAAGACCAACCGACATCCAGGAAAAATAGCATTAGGAGAGCCTATGCGAATCTCTGGTTGATCCGAGTAATGAAAACCCATGGCTGGCTTAAGCCTGGCAACAAAACCCATTGAAACAAAGAAAACATCGCCCGGATGGCCTCGAAAACCAAGCTCCATATATTTCCTACCTACAAACATCACACCAAAAAGAAACTCACCTCTGAACTTGCCCCGAAGGTCATGCTACAAACCACAAACACGGGAATTGATGTCTCGTTTCCTGCTGGTTTCCCTTTCAAGCCCACCAAAAGGGGGTCCCTGGATTTAAACAGGGACAAAAATTATACCACAATATATGAACCCAAATGAGGGGACCCTCAAATTGTTGTTTTTTTCCTTTGCTCTTGAAAACCACCCAACAAAAGGTATCCTCAACAAAAAATACACATCCCAAGCCCGGCAATGCTTCCCAGCTCCTCCGAGAGGTTGATGGTCTTCGTCGCCTTCGAGACGCCTCCCTGCTGCATCATGTACTGCTTGTTCCTCGAAACAGGCCATCGAGTCGATTGGTGAATCGTGAGCGCGTCTTCTTCGGGGAGAACCTCAACCCAAAGAAGCTGGACATACAAGGTTGACCTTTTGGGACATTGACTAAAGGTCAAAACCGGAAAAAAAGGTCAACAGGTCGGCTTTGGGCCACTGAGGAACCCCTTTGAAGGGATTGGTCAGAAAAGTCTAAACCAGTGTCCCCGGGCGGGCGATGTTGCAAACTCGACATAGGGAACAATGGTTAACCTCAACGGGACCACAGGCTAAGAAAGCAGGAAACCCGCAATGGAATGGTGCAGCCCGAGCAGACAAAACGCAATCCCCCCAAAAGAGGAGTTACCCTTGTATTCTACAGGGGGAAAACATCATTTGACTGTGTTCTGGGGTTACCAAAGTCAGAAGTTTGCTCTTCCCACTTAGGGGGCTACTTTGACACAGTTAAAATGATGGGGGCAGTTGTCACAAGAAATGCCAGACATGCCTGGTTCGGGGCATCCTGGGTGTTTGTTTGTTCGAAGAATGAGACAGGTGGTTCAACTGACAAAGGCCGTGCCAGCCTCTTTCCAACAAACATGAGGCACAATCAAAACCTGTCAATTAACAAGGCAAACCCATTTCAGCATTTATGCTATAAAGCTGAGTGCCTAATTGCCATATTCATGCGGATTAATTGCAGTCATGAATGTGCTTTGATGCCCTTCAATCCACAATGTATGATGCATGGCTTGTTCCGACCGAGATTTCTGTTGCTGTACTCAAGACGCTGTAAGAGCCTGACCAGAGCACATTGTAAGTGGTGTTCATACGCTCAGCCACACCTTCGCCAAACTCTGAATTAGGAAAAAAGGTAGCACGAGCAAAGTGGGAGCGTGTGTCTCCTTGGAGCCCTTTCTTCACTTTGGCAAATTATGGAAAACCAAAGGAGAACTAGATGCCCCAACCACTTTTGGTTAGTCCCAGAACACGGTCTTTGTCCATACTTCCACCCTGTCCAACAAACAGATCGCGAAAAACGACCAACTGTTCAGTCCCGCCCCCCGTCCAACACACAACCAAAGAAAACACACAACTACTTTTCCCCTCCCCCCCCCGTCAAACCAAGAAGAAGCACAAAACAAGACGGCGGTTGGAACCTCCGCCATCACTTGGTTGACGTTGGAAGGGGAGCAAACATTCAAACTTTAGCAGTTAAGTGGTTGGATTCCAACCACTAAACCATAAGCATTAAAAAAAAACATGTTTCCAACAACAGCCCCATGGCTTTGCCCCGCCCGCCCCTAGGCGCCCGTGCGCCAAGGCGCATGATGTCCGGGTGCCCGTAGTGCATCCGCGCCCCGAGCACCGAGTAGGTCCGCTGCAGCAGGGTGCCGAAGGCCACCTCGGAGCCTGCGGCGAAGTCCCCGATGGAGCCGATGTCGCTGGTGATGTGCTCCGGCAAACCTGAGCCCGTGGCGGGGGTGCAAACCAAGGGAAAAAACACGGCGTTGTGTGGTGTTTGTTTTTTTTTGTGCTGTTCTTTTGGGGGGGAGTCCAGTTAAAGACACATGCAGAACACGTGCTTTGTTTTGATGTTTATCTTTTTTCTTTTGGGGGCGGTTCTGTTTAAAGACGCATCGGCTTCCCTCCAATTGGTGATTTGGAGCCGAATCGGCAGTTTGATGGTTGAGCAGGGGCATTGAGCGTCCACAAGAACCAGGCATGGCTTAGGTTCAAACCAAGCAAGCAAAAAAACAATCAAAATTGAGTGGCGACGGTATTGGGCATGGGTTCATGGGCTTGAAGTGAGCGATTGGCAAACCGGTTTTCAAACCCTGGTTTGGAAGCTAAACAAATTGAATTGTTTGCAGTCCCCCACTAAAAATGAACAGAACCAAAAGAAGCAACTGAAAACATGCAACAGTGAAGCGGGGTTCACCCGATGGCTTAGGTAACTAACCGGTTTAGGTTGGGTTTGGGGTGGGTTTGCTAACAGGGGCCACTGGATTTCCCCCTTTAAAAGTTGATCAACTTCCTGGCTTCCCTTGAAACTGCCTTGGAGCAGCTTTCGGAGGGTTGCAGGGGGTTGCAGGGGACTTCAGGGACCCAACCCACTAATTTCAGCTTCCAATCGGTTAGCTACCTAAGCCAAGAGGTGAAAGGGTTTCCTCCATTTCCCTCTTTGGAACCTCCAAAATCTGCGATCTTTCACTTGGGGAAAAAGCATAACTCCACAGAGCTTGGTTTGGCCAAAACAGAAATAGGTGGCTGGGCTGATGGTTTGGGTTGGCGGTTTAAAACAATCAACACGCAACTTGGTGGTTCCTGCAGCGAGAACTTCATTCATATATTGGACAGCGGGCGGCCTCGTTTGGTTGAACAACCAAACCCCTAGCTACTTCTACAGGAAAGCCAGAATGGAGTTGTTCAAACAATGGGTGTTTTATCATGTTCAATCAGTTGGCGCACCCCTGGTTGTTTGGCTGGTGCTTTGAACGAATTGACAGGCCCCCCAAAATGGCTTGAAGGTTGAAAGGTACCTTCCCACTTGGCTCAAGTGGACCTGGAGCTTGGTTGCTGTAACGACCCCTCTGCGTGCTTTTTTTTGACGTGTGGGTTCAATATGGAAAACCCAAAAGATTTCAACCAAACGGCATCCTGGCATCCCCAGCAACCTCGGAACCATTCCGATAGCCCAGAGCCGCTCCGAACGCCGAAGCCTATCTGGGCAAAGACCCCATAGCTTTCAGCTGGAGAAAATACTAAAGTCTCTGCCGCTACCAGCATCCAATCCCTTCCTGCGGCCTGGCTTGGTGTTCAAACATTCGAGGATAGCGCAGGGCGGTGATTTGGGGGGGGTGTCGTACAGATTTGTCCAGCCTAACCAGCATTCACCTCCAGCCCCTACAGCAAAACTCCTCAAGCAGCTCAAGCAACACACTTGGAAACCCACAGGAAAACCAAACTTCATTTGTCTGGGCTGTCCTCAGATCCCCTGATAAAAGTCGCAAACTGTTAGTGGGCTAAATTGGGAAACCAAACCACTAAGCCAACTAAAAATAAACCTTTTAATGTAAGGCACCTGATTCCTGCGAGCCAGCAAGTTATTGTGCACCAACCAAACAAATAGCAACCAAACCCCAAGCAGTACGAAGTCCAGGAACTCAGTCAAAAAAAAACTGGTATTGACATGGTCAACCCAAAACCACGTAAACTAGCTAAAATGGTTCCCCCCCCCCACAAGCCCGTTCTATTAATCTTTAGGCCCTCTCATTGCCAACTTTTCGTTGAAACACCTTGTTGGTGGGTAGCTACGAGGTCCAGGAACTCAGTAAAACAACAAGAACAACATCCACATGTCCAATCCATGGCTCCGAATCTCCAGTCCAAGTTTTTTTTTGGGGGTGGTCCTCACGCCCAAGAAAGCCGAGACGCCGATGATCTGCTTGGCCTCCCGGTCCCCCCGCTCCAGCGTGCGGAACTCCCCGAGCACACAGGGCAGCAACAGCCTGCGGCCGAGATGTCCCAAACCTTTTTGGATGAGGCGAATCTGTGGATGAACCCCTGTAGAATATTAAAGGAGCACCTAGGTCCTCCAGATTTGAGAGGTTAGAATAAGGGTACCCTATTTTTTCCTGTAGTCGATTTTTATAGGGGAACCCTCCCCAAAAAAAGGGTAAAAGGGCACTACTGGGAGACCTAGGTACTTAAAAAAAAAAAAACTATATCAGTACATATCAGTACTACTAGAAACTAGTAGTGTTAGTTGATGTGGATTGTTGTTGTTTGCTCGATTTACTAGAAATTACTTTTCTGTTGGCTGATATCTATGGTTTAAAATGATGAGACTTTGTTGCTCTTGTTTCTGCTGTCCAAAAGGCTCAAACCTCGTTCCCATGGGCTGATCTTTGTGGGCTGATCTTCGGCAACTAAAAACAACGTTTAGGTGACCCATGGGAGTGTGAGTATGTGTCTCAAAATAGGGGTCCCATTTTTGGGATGGTTTAAGGGGAAAACCCAAAGGACACCAACGCCTGAAACGTTTGGCCGGCCGTTTTTGTGAGAAACACCCATGAGTTCCTGCAAGTGATCAGAAACCATGAATTAGAAACCGTTTTTCACGGGCCCCCTGAATCCAGGTCAAAGCAAGGACCAGCAACAATGAAACCGTTCAAACATGCCCTTGCTGAAACCTGTAGGGCGTCGCCATGCCAAAACACAGAGTCGAGACCAGCAACCACTTTGACAAAATAACGATCCTCAAGAAACCGGAAGGAAATCAAACCCCTAGTCTTGTCACATCCACGTGATTTTCGGGTCTCAACGCCGAGTTGGGACCAGCAGCATCTGCTCGAAGTAGCCCCCCTGGTTGGCATCGATGCACTGGCTGAAGATCCCCCGCAAGAAGATGATCGCGTGGTTCCTTGCCATACTTGCCAAGGGGACGGTTAGACGAGCAGCTCTTTGCTTTTTATCATACTTGCCAATATACATTATGGGCCTGTGGGAACGTGGCAAAATGGGGGTGATCCTCAAAATGAAGACTGTTCCTTGTGGCATCCCTGCAAACCAACCTCAAACACCGAGCCTCAGGCAAACTACCCGTGTACAAGGCGTGGGACACATCTTCGAACCCACTTCCAGTGCCCAGCAGTTAAAGTCAAGTGTGATCAATCAAAAGACCCACCTATACGAGCCACAGTCTATACTAATCTATATTTGGCAACTCTGCAGCTCAAAAGCACCGTCTGGAGCAAGCACTCTGTTCCGGACGTCTGGATCCAACATTCTTGTTCGGGATATTCGGAACGCTTTGATGATGCATTCAGAACATTGCTTGTCAGCCGCTCTGCCCCACTCTTCAACTCCACGCCTCCGCGAATGTTCATTTATCATTCTTAAGCTTGTCATTTTCCGGAGCCTCGGAAAGGTCTGGAATAAAACATAACCCGATATTTGTGGCCGCTGCCAATTGTCCCTCTACAATTTCATTGACCAGGTACTGTACTTGAACGCCCCCACTAAAAATGCCAATAGGGACGGGCTGCTAGTTGTGCCATTAGATTTTGGTGAACCCACCCCACCTCCCCCCATTTTCCTTGACTACAAAGGGCTTCTTATGGCATGTAGCAGCATTCCCAACTGCACTGGCAGTTCAATTGGTCCACGGCAGCTCATGGCGAGTCCGATTAGTGAATTGCCTCATTCGAATTTTGGGGAAGTTCTGCCATGACAGTTGGGTATGTGTTTTTTTGTTGGGGACCCTTTGAATTTGCTTAAGTCCACAGAGAAAAAAACAAAGAGCAAACAATCAGTCATAGACTCCCTTCAGAACCAACAGGACAAACAAATCATTCGGCAAGCGGAAGACATCATGGTGGTTGGAATTCTGTCCAGGCATTCGGGAGTGGGACCCCCAAAATTGGGTTCGGTGGTCCTGTTGGTTTCCCATCAAGAACCGCCGAGACATGCGGTACCAACTCCGGAAAAAAAAAAGAACTTGCAAACCAATTTGGGAATGTCTTCCCCCAGCCCATACTTCCATTTGCTCCAGTCCCTTGGAAAAAATAAACACATGTCCAGCAGTGATGGCATTCATTTTAAAAACCAACAGGGACTGTTAAAGAAAAGCACACACTTGAGCAAATGGGGGCATAGGACATTGGGCCATGGGTCAAAAGCCCGCAACCTCAGTGAACATCCGAATCCCCAACTAAAATAGGTTCTCAAATGGGTGGTGCAGCTACCCCAAAATGGGATCCAAAACGGTTTTGACCCATTTGAAGACGAGGCGCTGATTGTCGCTTTTCCCATCCCCCAGGATGGGATAGCCCGGCAGCTCCACGCTGAAGCGCGCTTCCCGCCGGCCCCCGCTCCCACTCCTCAGAGACTCGAGACCGAAGCTCAGAAGGAGCCTTATAAGGAGCCTTATAAGGAGGCTTATAAGGCGGCTTATTAAAAAAAAAAAAAAAACTTCTCTTCCAAAAGAAGACTTCCAGTCTCATTTAGGATTTTGAGCTTAAGCTTAGACCTGGAAAACCGCTTGATTTCACCGGGCTGCGGTTTAATGGGAAACCAAGGGGAAACCCAGTAGGTTACTACCGCTCGAGTGGATTGGCCAGAAAAAGTCAAACTTGCTGAGTGCCACTAAAATGGCAACCAAACCCAAAAAGTGACCAAAGATCATAAACTCAGAAAGTGATTGATAGGGGTCAAATGGAGCATTGGGTTTTAAGGACCCCACATCCCCGTTCTATGGATGTTTAGGCCCTTTCATTGCCGCCCTCTTCTTTGGGGGGTTGAAACTAATTGTTGGCGAGTTGCGTTCTTTCGCTTTGGGGGCGAACCAGTTCGTCGTGGCGAGAGGGGTTCGGGGGGATTGAGGCCGTTAAAATTGCATTGCGGGCACAGCAAATCCCGCACGAAGGTGCTTTCGTTCTGGACTCGGCAAATAGCATGACTTGCAAAATGAAACTTGCTCTGCAGCACGCTCCTTGTTTTCAGGCCGTCTTGCAAAGTGTGCCGAGCTGACGAAACACACTCTTATTGGGTATGTGTCCAATAGGGCGGCAGGATTTCTTGCTTTTTTGTTTGAAGTTCACCCCAATCAGAGGGTACCCACAAGACCTCTTGTTCTGCCCGCTGTGGCGCCGCTGCGGTGCATTCTCAAGTCAGCAAATTTTAATCGTACCTCAAGTCCAAGTGGGTATGTGCTATCATAGGGCCAAAATGGATCTCGTTTTTGCTGGTTTCGTTGAACACCCACTTGAAGAGGGTACCCGGACAAAAAAGCCACACCCCGATTTGAGAGTAAGACATCCTCCAATTTCCGCCACCAATGGCGTGTTTCCTTGCATGGTTTCCTTTTTTTGAGATAAGGGAACCGAGCCTCAAAGCAACGCGGGCCGAATATTCAATGGTGCACCAACAAAACCATGTGAGGAACGAGCAAGGCGGATATCCGCACCCATTTATGACTGGCATTGTCCCTTCTCCCTCATCTACCCGTGTGTTTGATGTGGCCCACTTCTCTCAAACTCATGGGCCCCCAACAAAAGGATGGAATCTCCTTCCGCTCCAGCGGATTGGTCAGAGAAAGTATCCAAACTCTGGCTCCAAACTCCTCCAAAGTGCTTCAAGTCCGAAACGCAGCTCAGGGAGCGAGATTTTTCTCGGCCCCAAAGATGGCCAGGCGGTCCTTTGCTTTTTTCCTTTCAACCCCAACAGCCAAGACGGGTCGGTTCCTTCATGTTCCTTCCCTCGAGCTGCACTGTTCTGCGACCCGGGGCTCTGCTCGGGAGATGAGGCGTCCACCAAACAGCTGAAGTATCGCCGCTTCTGGCGGGCGTGCACGCCATCCACCTCCGCGTGTACCTCGGCTTCGAGAAAAACACAAACGACCGCGCCAAGGGCGAAAAACCATCCGGCAGCCGTGTGGGGGGTTCTTGAATGCGGACCCCCTTTTTGCTGAGTACCGTAGAGGGAAACCAAATCGAAACCAGCCGGTGGGGTCAGGGGTTCCTGCATAGCTGCGGATGTCAAACACATACCCAAAATGGGTCGCCCTGGTAGATGAGATCAAGGAGTGAAACTTGCGGTCCCCTGTTGTAGTTTTTACCCATAAAATGTGTGTTTGTGTCTGTTCTTACGGGACCCCCAAAAACAAGTTGTATAAAGTTATCCTTTCTCTGCTGGTTTCCTTATAAATGCAGCAAAAAAACTGAGTACCCTTGAAACAAACAGACCAATATCCAGCAGCACTTGCGGTTGGAAGAGCAGTCGTTGCGGGTGCTGGATGGCGATGTTTCTTGAGCTCGGATATCTTTCTTGGGGTTGTTCAACACAAAGAGCCAACTGCAAACCGAAATCCATTTCGGGGGAGTCGCCCCATTTTGACGACATACCCACACGAGCCACAGTCGAACTTACCAACGTTCCCGAAAAAGGACATGTTTCTTTTTTGGCCCGTCCACGCCCAAGGCGCATTCTTCTCCTTGAAGTCTATGAAGGCCACCTTCAGACTGCTGGGGAACTTGGCGAACATTTTGTTGGTGTCGCTGTAGCTGATCGCCCCAGGGATGCCGTACTGCTGCATGGAGATGATGCAATTGAAGCCTGAAGCAAACAAATGCCGTTCACCACTTCCCAAAAGTGAAACTCGTGGGATATGGCATCGGTCCCTCGAAACTTAAAGTCTACAAGTCAATTGAGATGGTGAATTAAAGTCTGGCCGTCAAGCCAAATCGCCACTTGTTTCCTGCAAACAAAAGAAATACATGTGTATATATATATAATTATATATATATATATATGATATAGGCCCAAATTGTAAATGCTCTTTGGGTTCCCGTGTAAACGAACCCAAGAAAGGCTTACCCTCAGAGAAATCCATTTCGCACAACCTCACAAAATGACTCTTCTCCTGTAAACACCAACAAACGTTGTGGTTTCCGTCCCATGGCTTCATTCCGCGTTGCGAGCGGATTTGGCGTCACACGCCGTACCTCCCAAGTCGTCTGCGAGCCGAGGCGCAGTCGTTGGGGGTCCACACCTCGGCGAGCGCCGGCTTGCGCTCGCCCCGGATCCTGCCCACGCCCTGCACCTCGTTGTGGCACATCAGAGCCTCGCACGTCAGTCGGGGGTACGCGGCTGGTGCTGTTTTGTGTGTTTGTTGTTCAACGAGAGTCCCCACCCTTTGTGTGATTTGTGTGCTGTGGGTTGGTGGTTCAATGAGACTGCCCACCATTTGCTTGTTGTGGGGTTGTTTGTTTTCATGGGGTTTAAGGGAACCAAAGGGGTGTAAGGGAAATCAAAGGATATCTAAGGTATAAGGGGACATCTTTTCGCCTGAGGCTTGAGGGAAATCAACGGAAAACACCACTTGTATGTCTTTCCGAGACGCTTTTCAGGTTGCTAAAAACAAGGAAACCGGAAGGAACATCGAAAGCATGTTGTCAGGGTTCTGCCCTAGGTTGATACACACCCTGCGGCTGTGGCGCAAAGTCGGAACCCAGCCCGAGATTGTGAAAACCCGGGGGTCCCCCATACACAGCTACAGTTTTGAGACCCTGGTCCCAACTACCCATGTTCCGGGGAAGTACATAGGAACAGCTTTTGCGGGAAAGCCATGAGTTGTTTCAAACGTTTGTGCGGTGCTTTGAGGGTGCTCTTTTGAGGAAACCTTGTGTTTCCCAGTAAAATGGTCGTCCCAAAAAGCTTCAAGCCCAGGAATTCAGGGAGTCGAGCCCGAATCCCTGTGACTGCTACATCCTGAGCTCTCGGCGGGATGGTAAAGCATCATGCCGGCCACTGTGCGGAAGAGCGTTTGCAAGCGCATGGAGGACCACCCGCAGATCTTAGCCCACCTGGTGAGGTCGAGCTAGGGAAAACGAGCAAAGATTTGTTCTGACTTCCTGAGTGGACTGGCAAAAAAAAACACTCCATTTTTTAATGTAGCTCTCCCCCAAAAAAAGTCCAGGAACTCAGGGAGTCAGAAAGAGCTAGTACCAAAAGCAATTATTTCCACCAAAGAGCCAAAAGGATCCGGGCAAACACATGTTCAACCACAAAAGATCAAGATCCAACCAAACTGGGTGTGTATGTTTCTTGAGGCTACCTTGTTTATGACTCAAAGAAAACCCAAAACCGCGAAAAAACCCGGCGCTCCCTTTTCGTGTTCCCAGCCCTGGCAGACGAGCCACCCAAAAGCCCAAAAGCCCCGGCCAAGGCGCTGCTCGTCGGTGTACTCGTCCCAGTTGGTGCCGGCCCGGAGGCCCCCCAAGTTTTTGGCCTGGACGCGTGGCCAGCGGTTTAAGGTCTACTGGCCATGGGGCCCAAATGAAAGCCAAATCGTACTAGTGAACATCCGATTCAACCCCCACTAAAATAGGTTCTTAAATGGGTGGTGAATTCACCTATCAAATGGTACCATGGGTTTTGACCCACAGCCTACTCAGCCCAGGAACCCAGAAATAAAAGGTGGACCTTTTGGGGCCATGATAACTTTGATGAGGAAGAGTCGAAAGGACGCCAAGTGGCGATCGAATAGTGTGGAGTGAATGGAAACCAAAGCAAGTTTCGACTTGGATCTCTTTGAACCAAGCCAAAAAATTGTGGGGCTCCTCTACCAAAACTGAATCACTTGTTGTGGGTCCAATACGGAATATCCGGCTTGGTTCAACCAAAACATTAAAGTCGAAAGATCTTGTTTAGTGGACCCCCATACCGGCGATGAACACCAAACAAGAGATACCCTCAAAACACACACAAAAAAAAAACTGTCTTCTTTGGGGCACTTCTGTTGGACGGTGAGTGTGGTCCGTCAACAATAGGGTAACCCCGAAAATGGCTTGCCCTGGTAAATAGAAACAAGGGAACTAAAACCAGTGGTCCATATCCTGGTGGTTTACGTTTGACCCATACTCACATGGCCGTACAGAAATGCAACAGAAATCCCTAACAGAAGTGTCCCAATGTCTGAATCTGGATCATGCTTCACACCAGTTTCAAAGCAAATCGTCACGCCGTCAGACTGCCTGACGTCTTCGCACCCAACAAATCGCCCCAGCCACGAATCGCATGATCCGCCCATCCGCCTGCATCCGCGCGTCGAAATGGTGCCACTCGTCCTGCAAAAACACCCGCACTCTTGAAGTCTTATAGGGATCCAACTCGGTTCCTGAAGGACGAAATCCTGCAGTTGGTAACCCGGTAGGTTTCTCCCACTCTTTCATGCTTCGTCTATCCCAGGTGCGAAACGGATTTCGTCCACCCACCATCATGTTTTCTTGACATACTGTAAACTTCAATTTGCAACGTAAGTTTGACATGGCAGCCGAAATGGTCATGTAGAACACCAGCTTAGCACGCAAGCCACGGGGCCATTGGGTTGATGGCTGAACTTAGCACGGGGGGCTTCCCTCATTCTGAAGCCCATCCTCCTTTCCAGAAAACTGCCCAAACCCCAAGGTGTCGGCACTTGAGGTCCACACAAGTTTACTCTGTCCTTTTTGCACGGGGTACACTTCCCTTCAAACCAACCCAAAAAGAGGAAACAAAGACATACAGTTGACCCCATATGGATCAACCCCAGTTAAGTAATAGGGGGGTGTCCTGGGTTTAGAGCGGATTCAAACCACTTTTGCAGGAACCCCGCGATCGAAGTCTGAGTTTGAACAAGAATGGGGGGGTCAACATAGTCCTTTGAGGTACCCCCCATATGTTTTTTGGGGGGGAGGCCATTTTTTAGGCGCCCCCAAATTTTTTTGGGACGCGTCCAAACATCAAACCAGACAATGGGAACTGCAGAGACCTGGACTCGGAGACTACTCGGAAGCCCCGGCCTCGTATCGAGCCTTCAACCAGTCCATGAGCGGCACCTGAGCCGAGCCATTTGGGCGCTTCTCATAAGGTTTGCCCTGTAAAGGCCAACAATCCGTAGGTTTCTAGTTACTTTTCAGTTGGCTTCGTGGTTGGATTTCTGAATTTGAGCCACAAGATGCCGTCACTTTTAGCGGGAGATCTGAGGACAGCCCAGTGGAGTGACACCTACTGTAAATCCAGCAGCGCACCACCCTCTTGAGCCTCTTGAGGAACCCGGGGGGGGGGTTCCCAAAATAGTGGAGCCTTTGAATGGCAAGGGTTTCCTTAGCTACAGTGGACGGACAAGATCCATTTCGCACCACCTACGAAACCCAACTGCATGACGTTTGATTCTCCAATACCGTCACTCACGTATGGTCTCCTTCCCATGGTCATCCATCCACAGGGGAGTAAATTTCCTGAAACGGTTCAATGCTCTTTCGTTTCCAAGTACATCCACCACTTCACCATTTCAGGTTGGTTTGACCCCATTGGAAAAAGCCACAAAGGAGACCCCTTTCGAAACCCGAATTAAGGATTGTCTTTGAACATTCCAAAACAAGCTGTCCGGATCGCTAGTTGCTGCTTTTCCCATCAACTGCGCCTGTGTTTCGGGTTCTACTCGCCTTTTTGGCTTGTCACTTGCATCTCGGAGTTAACACTCGCTGACCAAAATGATCCCACGTGTATTTAGGGGGTGGGGTTGGAACAGCCATTTCACAGTGTAAGATGGGAGATCGGGAGTCTAAAAAAATGAGGAGCGGCTCCCTACAAAGTTCAAGTGGTCACTAGAAATGATGTAACTTGAAGCTACCAGCACCTCCAACTACGGCCCAGGGACAGTAGATATAATTTTCCCAAGAAAACACGTAGTTAGAAAAACTACTGTTAATTGCTTTATTTGCGGGATGCCCATAGTCCTGCTAGGGGTGGCAGCAAGTGCAGCAAGCGCCGCACAGCGCGTCACCCATGTGTCACTCGCGTGTCACCTGCGTGTCACCCGCGTGTCACCTGCGTGTCACCCCTGTCCCCCTGCGTCACCTGCGTGTCACCCTTGTCACCACGTGTCACCTGCGTGTCACCCCGTGTCGCCCGCGTGTCGCCCCAGTGTCCACCCCGTGTGACCTGCGTGTCACCCCGTGTCGCCCACGTGTCGCCTCAGTATCAGTATGCTATAACAACAGTAGATCGTTGTGAATAATAATAGTTTTAGCGTGTCACCCGTGTTGCCGTGTGCGTGTCACCTCACCCCGTGTCACCTGCGTGTCACTGCGTGTCACTTGCGTGTCACCACGTGGGCGTGGGAACGGGTAGGGATATATAATTGTTTGTTTAATTGTTTTGTACTGTTTCGGAAAAGAACGCGAAACTTCTGTAGATCGGGGATCTACTGTCTTTTCTGTTATTTTCGGAACTACTGCTAAATAGACGGTAGTTACGAAAATACAATGAAAACAGTAGTCGGAGGGTGCTGGTAGGCTTTTATCTGCATATGTAAATGCTGTTTTAAGGGACCCCCACGAACTGATTTAAGGGATCCTTAAGTAAAGAACCTTCATTCTGAGCTCGCTACACGCGCGAAAATGCTCGCATTAAAATAGGCAGATTTATGTCATTGGGGCCGCCCTGAAATTTAATAATAAAAAGACAAGTGGGCTCTTTGGCTTTGAGTCCTACCAACGTCAAAATGGTCTGGTCACCCATTCCGTAGGGAAAATACATTTAGCCTAATACTATGAACACAAGCCCCAGAAACAAATGCAAACCCTTGCTTGGTTGCTGGTGACCCGCTCCGAAAAAAGTGAGTAACTTGTTGTTTGATTTCAACCAAAAACTGAAAGTCTAAAGATTGAACCCAATAGCAATCGAGCCTTTTGCATCCTTTTCGCGCCAGCATCATCTTGGAGGACAATTTGGAGGCGGCGCCAACCCTACAAAATGCAACACTGACCAAACCTTACGCCTACAGAATGACATAAACAGGCCAAGCCCCTCAACACAGCCCTCAAATAAAACACTAGACATATAGCCTCTATGAAATAATGGCAGCAATGCTGGAGCCATATGCGGGTCTGCAAAAGGTGTTTGCTTTTGGTTTCTCCCGCGAATTTGGGGTGATCCGACCTGATGCGTGAGGGAGGTCAACCTCCATTTTAGGGAGATGCACAGGATCCAAAACGGACAACCCATTCACATTCGTCTTTGTTGGAGTTGGTACCCCCGTTTTAAGGTGGGTTTCAAAAGGAAAACAAAGGGAATCACCACCAAAAAAGGACACACCCATTTGGTGCCTAAGACCAGACCCAGGCCCACGCCCCCAAAACTGCTAAGGCGCAATGTCATCGTCCCGCCCTCCGTACAGGGACTCCTGCGAGCATCACCCGCCGACATGGAGCCAGCCCGACCCATACAATGTTATCGTCACCCAAGTAACTTTGAAGCTGATGCGCCTCGTGACGGTGTCGCCTAGTCTTTTGTTCAGCTGTAGCCATTGATCTGCAACTTTTACTACAATTCTACAAGTTGATTTAAGGGATCCCCAAGTAAAGGACCTTTTTCATGGTGAGCTCGTTGTACCCCCGAATCGATGATCCTTAGCTCCATCCTGTCTTTATGACACCAAAGGTGAGGACAGGATATTGGGAGCGAAGGCAAGGATGAAGGTGGGATGAAGAAAGAGTGACCTGTAACCCCAATAATCCCAATCCTTCCTCTCTCTTCGTTCGTTAGCATTCTCTGGATTATTGGTCACATCCCTTTATCTCTATCACCTGTCTACCAGAGCTCGCTATAAAATACAGAGACAAAATTAAGCCACCAGGAGACTGCAGGTTTGGGTCCATTTTCCATTTACCAGCGTTCCATATGGGATACCCCAGCCATATGTTGTCTGTGAGTCCGCGTGGAGGGAGTTTGCTGCTTCAGTCCTAGATGAGCTCGGTTGGGTTGAGGAGCACCCAGAAATTTAATTTGATAAGTGTTCCCCTCCCACCGACTAACATGGAAGTGCATAAACCCCTACAGAAAGACTACTTTCCTCTTAAAAAGGGGCTTTGTGCACTTCCATGTTAGCTGGTGGGAGGGTCATCCATAAAGCGGCCAACGCCGTGCGCTTGTCAAATCACAACCCCAACACATCGCAAATGATGCCTGGAGTCCTGGATGATTCCCCCTCTACACACCAAAGACTGATTTCCTAAGAATTCCTGGAATGAGTCGATTCCACTGCCAATCCAACAAACAATGGTTGTCCATGGTTTCGAAGTGGTGCAGGATTTTGTCCATCCACAGTATGGTTTCTCGAGTGGGGTGAGAAGCGGATTTCGGAACCATCCACAGGTATTTCATATGGCGGTGGGTCAAAAATAGGTACCCAAAATGGAACCATGGCACATGGAAACTTGGACTAAAACCTGCGGTCCCCTGGGGGTTTAATTTTGACCCATACCCATATTGCTTACTCGGAAGCTGCCGCGCAGGGCAGCAATGACACGCTGGCTCAACGCACTCCCTGCGAGGGTGGTCAATCCTTCACTCCAACCACCAGTGCACTTCAGATCCCCCGCTAGAAGTGACTAACTTTTAGTGGGTCAAATGGACACACCCACAAACACCTAAACCGCTAAAAAGCTAGGCAGCCACCAAGTTAAGCAGCTTGAGCAACCATGCACACAAATCTCTCTCCTTCTTCTCGATGATGGTCTCACCATAGTGGGGGATAAGCACCTGCAAACGTGTGCCATCGCCTGTGATGAGTGCCCGCCATCCAAGCCTCACGCTAAACCGCGCCCACATAATCTCGGTTGCTTTCTGCTCCCCTGCTAAAAGTTTAACTTCTAGTGGTTTAACGGACAACCCATTTGTTGGCAAAAGTTAAAGTCCTAACATCCAAGCAAGATGCACCAAAGTAATTCATGAAGCAGCATCTGTCATGACCTTTCTTGACTTCAGCGACCCCGACACAACACTCCCTCGCCGCGTTCCTTTCAATTCGATGTGTTGAACGAAGCCCTCAATTGGTTGCTGTTTTGGGGGTAACCCCCCCCGCAAAAAAAACAAAAGAACAAAGAAAGAAGGACAGTTGGTGTCCCTATGGTTTCCTTTAAAACCCCACCAAACACGGATCTACCCTCAAACCACAACCAGACCAGACCCAAACAGAGAGAGAGAGAGAGAGAACTCCAATGACACGGACTGCGCCCTCGGGCTGTGCTCGCTCTCTGCGCTGAGGCCACATGCGCTGATGGGTTTCCCTGGAACATGGGGCATTAACACGTTCACACCCATCTAAACCAGTGGACCTGAATCTATTTCTAGCCAAACTCACCAAAAAAGAGTGTCCAACTAATCCGCTGCAAGTGACTAACTTGTGGCTGAAAAACTCGGAATTCCAACCACTAAATACCACTACAAGGATCTAAAAACCGAAGTTGAAAACCGGATGGCTGGAAGCCGCTAAGCAAACGACAACTTGGCTGTGGGTCAAAACGAATGGTACCATTTTGGGGTAGGTGAATTCACCACCCATTTTGAAACCTATTTTGGGGATTGGTTGATGTTCACTGGGGGTACGGGCTTTGGATTTGGACCCATGGCCAAATGGAAAATAGTGATAGATTCCAGTAGTGATAGATTCCCTTTAAGACCAACAGGGGAAAATAAAGAACATATTCATTTCAGCAAATGGACGCACTTCGCACACAACTCATCGCGCGCTCCGAGGCGCCGTGATGCCCGGCATGAAAGGCGCGCGGAAGGGCTTCGGGATCGGCAGGCCCAGGCCGCGGGAGAGCGCCAGCAGCCGCCTCAGTCCGGCAAGCGGAGTGCGTGGAATCGGCGGCTGAGTGGCCACCTGGAAAAAAGGGGGCGAGTGTGGGTGTGTTTGTTCGTGTTGTTGTTTGTTTTGTTGGTTGTGTGTTTTGGTCCTGTTTCTGTGTGTTTTCGTCTGTTTGTTTGTCTGTTTGTTGGGTTGTTGCTTTGTTTGCGGATGAAGGTTGAAGGTCCAAGAGCCACGGGATGCCACTGGATCCTGCATGCCGGTGTCATGGGGCTGCTTTCCGGGCATCGGAGGAATCTTGCTGGTGCTCGGTAGGGAATGACATTTCGGGTTTTGGGAATGAACCGGAAGGGGACTCCCCTAAAGGAATGGTGCAAAGAATGGTACATTCCGAAAAGACTTCCAAAGTGACCACCATTGCTTAGTACAGGATGCTCCGCACATGACTGCCCAGCGCACCCGCGGAGTTCTATCTGTGTTCACTCCACAGGTTCCAAAGTCAAAGCTGGCAAAGTGGGTAGCGTGAACGCAATCAGCGCGGTTGTGTTGTCACCCGTTTACCATCCGTGCTCTGGGAAGGCCCTACAAGTTGGAGTCCATCGAAATGGCCGGGCCTCTGGCTGCAGTCAGCGCGAGTCGCGCGAGCTGCTCCGCAGTTCGGGCCCAGTCCAACCGGAAAAGCTTGAATTGGATGACAACCTGGAATCGCTGGAATGATAGTGCAGCGTCGAAAAATGCCATGGAAGTCAAGAGCGCGCTGTGCCGGTGACCGCAAGGCTTTCGCACAGACTGAAGTAGCGAGTGGACCAAAGGGCGCAACCACTCGGACGTCTCCGATGGCAACAGCTTCAGCGTGCGGTGGACGTGCGCCATCCTCTGTGGGTCATGCCCGGCATTGCGGCAATGCTTGGACTCAGAGCGGACCCTTCTCCACCCCTTAGCGTGCATTTACCCCACTGCAAGTTTCGTTCAGCTGGGCAACTCCGTTTTTGACATGCACTTTGAACCTTATCTCAAACCCACATCCTGCATGGAGGGTTTGCGTATGTGCTTTGGTAATTTTCTTGCAAATGTTTCGTTTTGTACCCTCCCGCCCAACATGGAACCGTTCAACGTTTCGGGGTCCTGGTTGGGACCAAATAGTTTCCTTGAGGGACAACTTCTCCGGCGGGTCTGTTCCCAGATCCCCTGCTAAAAGTGAAACTTTGAGTGGTTTAGTGGAAACTACCTCGGCACCAACTAAAAGGCCAAAACCACTAAACCAACTAAAACAACCAAACACCTAAGGAATCGGATGGCTGCGAACCACCAAGGTTAGTGGACAGGAGGCTTATTCTTTTTCGGTTTCAGCTGGGCGCCCTGCCATTGCACCTCCGGGTTCTCAGGCCAGTTGGGGTCCCGGATCTTAGCCAGCGATCGAGTCGAATCGGCCGAGCGCTGTGACCGGGCAAACAACGGGGGGCAAGAAGTTGCAAAGCGAAACCCACCTGGGCTTGCTCTTGACACCATCTCAAGTGTACCCTCAAAATCAGACGATTCAAAGTGCAAGATCTCCGGCTGAGACGAGGACACAGCAGCCGTAGTGGAGGAAGGCCCTCTGAACCACGCCATGCTCCTGAAACATGTTCGGCACCTCGGCAGGTACTCGCCCTAGCCCCAAGTATCTCTGGCATGGAGCACTTGACAAAAACTGACGTGAATTCCCCACGAGCGTCTCAGGCACCAAAGCTGTGCACAACACTTGAAGGCAAAGGGCAAAGGGCATGTGAGGGCATCTCACATGCATCTGAAGGCATCCGCAGGCATCTCAGGGCGTGTCTGAGGGTGAGGCTCCAAAAGCTCCCCTGGAGGTCAGATTCACCTCACACCTTACACCTTACACCTCGCGCGCGCCAACTTCGAGCTACAAGCTGCCTGCCCCCCCGAGGGCCCCGGCGGCAATCCTCCTCTGCGAGCCTTCGGCACCATCGGACCTGGCTCCCCATTGGGCCACGTGGATTTCCATTTGGTTGTCAGCTGAGTTCAGAGGGAAGCCCCCCCCAAACCAAAGGAAGCTGGACGTCACTCCCAAAAAGAGGGAATGCCTGGCATCAAAAGGGGCTGGGATGAATCATGGCAGTTGGGTGCCAACAACTTGCAAAGGCTGCCACGACACAAAACTGCGATCGCAACACACACACACACACACACAAACGAACACGCCTGCACAGTTTCTTGCAAAAAGCTCATATTATCAACCTTGTTTGACAAGGAAAAGCCCCTCGACCAAACATAAAACCTGAAGGCGAGCATCTCTAACGCAAGGGCGCTTCTGATGAGATGACTTATCTCAGGGCCTTGGTTGCTGTCGACTTGAACTCGGTTTGTTTATTGAACCGATCTTGGTTGCTGTAACCACCCCCCTGCAAAAAGTGAATCTCACTTCTTGTGGGCATTTGTGGGTCCAATAAGGCGTGTTTCGCCCTGACCAGCAACTTTGGCCCTCTGGGCAGTTCGAGAGCAAAAATGTTGGGGTCGGGGGCATGACTTTGCATACCCTAAACCCAAAAGTCGGCACAACGGCCCTTGCAAATGTGATACTTTATGCGGCAAACTTGCAACTGAAATTTGCAACTGGGTTTGCCAGAAGTATGGACCCCCTCTGCTAACACTCGATTCCCCATTCTCTTCGCTCTATTTTCTGACCCTGCATGGCTCGCCTTTTTTGGGGTCCACAAGGGGGGTTTCATTCAATTGTTGATTCCAAATGCATCCGAAAGGTCAAGGGAATGTCTGCAAAACAAGGGTTGACTCCGGAGAATCGAGAGACAACACTAACAACCGCTGGAGCATAGTCCTCTTATTTATCCCACGTTACTGTAAACCTCAACCTATGCCAGCTCCCATTTTTTCCATCTCATTGTCATTGTCTTATGATTGGCTTACCTTTTGAAGGGCTCCCCCAAACAGGTTTTTCGAGTGCTTGCCCACTTGAGGACTCCTCCCAAAGGAATCCCATCCGATCCAATCGACGCTCAAGCGACGCGCTCGCCTCAGCGGGGCACGAATGGGCCGAGTCAAGCTCTGCCAGTCCACGCCCACGTGCCCGTGGCTCGTTTGGAAGGACTGGCGAGTCGGCGAAATGATGCCATGCAAACTTTCCGCAACGCGACCTTTAATTGGGCAATTTCTCAGGGATCTGGCATTGGCCTCCTCAGGGCTCGCGTGGATTTCGGGAGTGGATTTCGCCCAAACACGCTGGGCTGTCCTCAGATCCTCTGCTAAAAGTTGAGCTTTTAGTGGGCTAAATGAAAAACGCTAAGCCATAAGAAGCTGGAAACTTAAGGGGATGACTGTTCCCTGGCTCGTCACGATGGCTCTTTCGGAAAAGTTTGAAAGGGGACGAACCACGCGCCATGTGCATTGAGGCGCTGCGATGCTGGGTGACCCAAGCAGAGCAAACATATTTGCGAGACTGCATGACATACTCTAAAGGCCAACGTACATATCTCAAATGGACTCTATGGGCCTTCTATAGGGATGGTGTTGCGGGCATGTACCCTGTGTGACCCATGTATAGCCACTAATTTTGAGGCATGTCCATTTGGGGTAAATTGGGCCTTGGACATGAAGAACCTTGCCGCTTCCTTTCTTTCCGTAAGGATCACGAACTGCCCCTGGCCACCCCTCTCCTGAAATGGTAATCCACACTGTGGATGGAGGAAATCCATCTATCGCACCCGCGTTCAGATGTTTTTGTTGTTGATTCGATTCCCCAACGTAAAAACCAACATCAACCACTACAAGGATCTGTAACTTTGACTTGAGGGGCTCCCTTGGTATCACAAGTGACCCAAACAAATCCCTGTTTCCCGTGTCCCGTGCCTGGTCGGACATAAATTGAAAGCCGACCTTGTCCTCGTACCTCATGTACCTCCGGCCGAGTGGCTCAGAGTTCTTCCTTTTGAACGGTTTCAGCCAGGAGATACGAGGAAAATTCACGATGCGTATCGAAGAAAGCTGTGAAACAAACAGGACTGGGCATTGGCATGCACTGGGCATTGGCTTGCATCTCCCAAATGTCTCCAGGCCGCCCACCGGAACAACTTCCTAGGCTGGGACTCTTTCACCCCTTGCAGCAAGTGAAACTGTTTGCCGGCTGGCTGTGCAACAATCTATGCTCTAAGTCGCAAACTTGATGGTGCTCAGTGGGGAATGACCTTGCGGGGTTTGGGAATGAACTGGCTGGATTCTCTTAAAGGAACTCGGGCTCACCTCGTGCCCTGCCTGTCGAGCCAGCACGACAAAGAAGCATGTGATCTACAACTCGTGTAGCTAAATTGCAAGGCACGGTGTGGCTCCAAAAATAGGACACCGGGATACCCCCCAACAAAAGTGTGTTTCGGCTTTCGTTTGACTTCCGCTAAACCCCCCAAGAATTCAGCTTCCCCATCATTGGTGTCTTGGCTTGGTGGTTTGGAAGTTGGTGGTGACCAGGAACTGGTGTTCAAATCCCGAAACCACGCAAAACCAATTGATAGCTCGAGAATGGGAACCCCCTCAAGTGCCAAACTACCAATCCAGACCACTTGAGCGATAGCTGAATGGGAAAGCCACCCCTTGACCACCAAACCATCAAACCATCAAACCACCAATCCACCAATCCAGACCATTTTTTGGTAAGCTGAGTTGAAACCCACCAATCCAAGCCACCAAACCACCAATCCAGGCCACCCTTTGCCAGGGAACCCCAAGAATGGCAACTCAACCAAGAATCCGCGAGCCGCCCGTTTGGATCGCCGGAGGCACTCCAAGACGCGATCCCAGATCATGGGGAACTCCCGAGCCATCTCTCGGCCCTCGAGTCGGATTTCCCAAATCTTCCCCCAAGGTCTCGGAGGAAAACTTCCCGAACAGAAGGGCAACTCGTGGACTCATGGGGGCTGCTCTTTTTGTTTTCACACGGTGGAAAACACACACACACAAGAAACACAAACAAGAACTTCCTAAACCATCCGAAGGGTAATTTCCAGGGGTTGTTTGGACTTCCCCGAGTCAAAAGTTGATCAACATGGTGGTTTCCATTGAATTTTGATGGTTTTTGGAGGTTCCAAGAAGGGAACTGGAGGGACCCCTGTCCAAAAGCACACACCCAAATTAGGAAGACTCAAAGCCAAGGGACCCCGACTTGTTTTTTTCAACTTGTTCAACCATACGTGGGTTGGACAAAACAAAACAGGGTCCCTCTTGCATCCATTTTTCAACAAGTTCGAAAACCCGCCATGTCTTTCAGTGGTGTTCGAGCGGACACCTCGCTGGATGCCTCTGAGGCTTCAGCAGCGTACAGCTGGTCACATTGGTCAGTTTCACAAGGATGGTAATTCGGGTCCCAGGTAATTCGCACAAGTTGCACCAATCAAGCCTTCATGGCGAAGTGCAGAAGCTTGTCAGTTTCACGCCCAGCCAAAACACCCTCAAGTCTGATGATTCTGATGATATGAATGCGCTAGGCCATCTTCTGAATTGAAATCAACTGAAATGCATCTGCCCCCCAACTTCGATGATGTCATCTGAACCTCCCGCCGCGCGTGGAACTTCTCTCGCTCTCCCGATGCCGAGAGGTCGGCTTCCACCGCGCTCTTCACAAAAGAAAAGACCTGCGCAACGAACCGAAGCGCTTGGCGCTGAGCGTCGTGTTCGGTGGTCCGTTCTTGGGACATCTCTCTATTCCGATTCCGAGTGCATGGGCCAAGAAGTCACCCAACTTTGTTGAATGAAAGACACTGAATTGGTCCAAACCAAAAAGTGACTCGAGTCCGAAACGAATCTCAGGGGAAATGAGAGCCAAATGGAGAAGTTTCGGTCGATCACCGGAAAGGTTTAATGGAAAAGCCGAATCTGTTCCGAACAGTCCTTTTGGGTCTATCTTCTTTGGGGGGGTGCCCGTGATTTTGGCGGCTTTGGAAGGGAAACCAAAAAAGCAAAACCGCTAAGCCATTTTGGAGCGATCCAGCCTAAAACAAGGTAAAAAGAACGACACACCCGAAATGGGGCCGAAATGGTGTCACACCAAAGACCTTTGGATGGGATGTCTCGGCCATGGGAAACATTTTGTGAAACGGCGCGGACCGGCGCCTTCTCGGACATACGCTCTGGGATCTTGGCGACTGCGTCCTGAAACGAGAACGGCGTCCCGAAGGCTTGGATGCGTCTTTCTCATGACGTGCTCCTCAAAAAGCCCAGACCTTTTCAGGGGTTTTTGGAACTTCCCCTTCATCAATAGTTGATCAACTTGGTGGGTTTCCCTGAAAACGAGAGAGCCACTCTTGGAGGTGGGAAATGGCTCAGACGCCGCTGGTTTTTGGGGGGCCCCATGGCCCTGAGACCTGAGGACCCCAAGTTGGCCCTTCGCTTCGCGCGCCGTCCTCGAAGCAGAAGGTAAAGACCTCGCACCTCGGGCGTGCTCGGGGGTTCGTGGAGTTCCCCACTCAGCGAAGTGGATGGCCCAAAAAAGTCACCAAGCTCCTGATTTGCCACACGACTGCGGAACTGAGCCCAAGTCAAAAGTTGATCAGTGTGTTGGATTACAAATTTACCACTAACATGGTCTTCCCCAAGCCCAGGAGCTCAGGCAGTGAGCCCAAAAGACAAGTTGATCAGTTTACTGCTGGATTCCAACAGAATGTTCAACTTTTGCCAAACAAAAATAAGAAAAATGGAGAGCCCTGTTGATGGGGAGACGGCAAAGACTCCCCCGCGCGCCCGAGTCAGTGGATGCACGTGATGCGAAACCTCTGAAATTGGGGGCTTTCGGCGTTTTTCTCTTTCCGTAGGTTTGGGGACCGACCAAAATGCCTTTGGGATTCCTTTTGGAGACTGTCAAGTTGCAAGGGCCCCGACGAGCGCTGGACAAAGGCAGTGCCCACTCCGAGGAAGGTGCAGCCGACTGTAAACCACATCCTCGACTCGAGTTTCGGTTTTTCGAGATGTGATTTGGAAGCCAAAAGGAAACCACCTACCTAGAAAGTTCGGGACCCGATTTTGAGAAACACCTGTCTTTTTGAGGGGACCCACAAAATGGTGGTTTTCCTGTTGGCTTCCCTTTCGACCAACCCCAAAAGTGGTCTCGAAAAAAGACACGCCCACATCTGGGCTGCCCTCAGATCCCCTGCAAAAAGTTTAACTTGTTGTGGGTTAAATGGACACCCCCACTAAACCGCAAAGAGCTAAAAAGCCAAGGGGATGGCTGGGAGGCAGGACATGTGATGCAGATCTGTCCAAAGTGCGAAGTCTCGGCACAAAAAAATCCGCGGCTCAGCGGCAGGCCCGGTGTCGGCGCAGAAGAGAAAGAACGTGGTGAACCACCTGAATCTGGTTCATTTGGGAGAGGTAACCCCGTTTTGGTGGACTCCAAAGGAAAACCCAAAATGGCAACCATGTTTTTGTGGGGCCTTGGGGTTCAAACCGCCAGCAAAAGAATGGGCAGCTAGTAAAACTAGTTGTTTTTTACCTGAGGGATTTTCATCATCCAAATTGGGTCAACGGGAAGTAAAACACCGATCTATTCCTCCCTGAGGGGAAGCGGCCAACGAGTCAGCGGATGTCAGCGGAATCGATGTGGTAAGATGTTGGTAGGGTAACTTCCAGGTGCTGAAGTCCACTGGACAAAAAGGCTACATAGTTCCAGTGATAGATGTCCTTCGAAACCAACAGGAGCAACATATTCATTTGCGGAAGGCAATGTTGGTGGTTGGATTGCTCGAGCCTGCGATTTTGTTGCCACACGCCCATGGGCTCAATTCAGTCCCAAAAGACAAGGCCTCAGAACCTCATGTATGCTGGGCCACACTCCAAAGAGTCCAACCCTTTCATCAGGGCTCCCTTGTCCGCGATAATTAAGCATATGGCCCAAAAGGTGATGTTTCAACTACCACAAGGGGAAATGCACGTAGGCTTCCATTTTGCTTTTTCGCCCCGTGGAAGAAAAAGCATGTCCAATAAAATAGTGAAATCGATTTTCAGTAAAACAAGGGGAAACACAAAAAACACATAATTATTAAGTCCCTCACTTGCCCAAAGGAGGAAATAAACAATTACCCTTCTGGGAGCTTTACCAAAGATGGACCAAAATGAGAAACCCCAAAGGGTCAAAAGGTCGATTCGCTTTGGACAACTGAGTTCCAGCAAACGGAAGTAGGGAACCCTGCGGAAGATTTGACAGAAGCTTGCCGCCGGGCCGCAAAAGGGCCCACTCCAAAACGTCCTGGCCCCAGTCAGTGCCTAAGCGCACGGCTGAAAAGTGGACTTGGGACGCAGGAAGAGATGGGAAGACCCACCCATTGTTGCACGACCATCTGGATTTCAGATGTCTCACTTAAACTAGTTCCATGGCTTTCACAACCAGTTTCCCGGATGTTTGAAGACACAACCATCTGGATGTCGGCTTCAATCAAGATTGTTCCACGATGGCTTTGAGAGGCTTTCGTGGCCACTTGGCATGTCATTGGCATCCCAGACTGTGGTCCCGGCACGGCGCAACCCGTTAATGGCGTGGAGCCTGCTAAGATGTGTATGTGCCATCCAGAAAACGGGTGTGGCCTTTGGAGGGTAATTACCCTTGTTGGGGTGGGAAGAAAGGGAAACCAAAAAGGAAACCGCCTGCTTTGGAGGCTTGCCTATTTTGACACAAACCCATTTGCCAATCAAACAGAGATGTCGCCGCAAAGGTGATCGTCCGGCCGATTAATTCAATCCCTTCCGCTTCGAACAAACTTCTATGGGTATGAATTTGAATTGGGGAGCCTGTAGACATTTATATCCACCAACCATCAGGAGTCTACCATGTCCCTAACCAGAACTCCGATCGGTAGCTCCGCAAGTGCTCCTGTAGCAAACTTGGATACCTCCAGCTCCCCCTGTAGCTCCCTGCCAACCACCAGGCGAGAGCATTTTCTTGGGCCCCGCGGCTCGCCCAGGAGTATTGCATCTCCGTGACGCTCTGCTGGCCGAGCATGATGATCTGCAGATCCTCGTGCCTGGGTCACCCGCGAGCCGTCAACTGCATCGTGTTGGGGCCAGCCCAAAAACGGAAGGGGAATCACGAAGCTGGGGCGATTCTCAAGCGGAAAGACGCAATCTGGTTCCCATCCTCTCTTTACCGGCATCAGTCTAGTCACTTGCTGCTGGTTTGCACGTCTAGTGATCCTCCACTTATTTTTAGAGAATCTGAGAAACAACTGTAAGCAAAGGATGGGAACCAGATTGCGTCTTTCCGCTTGAGAATCGCAAAACACCGGTTCAATCGCAAAGCACCTGTGCAGTTTCTTTCGCCGGCAGGGAGAAAAACCCGCGACTCCTGAGGCCACATGGCAGAGCCAGATGTTGTCAGTGCAGGTTGTCGCCATTTGGCCATGGACTGTGTCTTAAAATTGGAGACCCCCAAAAGAAGGTATTTGTCCTGTTAGTTTCTCCTTAAATCACCAAAAACATACCCTTAAAAAAAGACACACCTATAAATATGAAGCATCACCCTTCCGAAGACTTGAAGATGTGAATGCCTTCACAGGAGCAGTGATGCTGCATTTGCATTCAAGCCACCCACAAACCCATGGCGCCATTGTGATTGGCGTGGTCAAAGCTCGTTATTGTGGGGCATCATTTGGGAGCAAATTCGGGGTGTGTAACCACCCATTCTAACTCCAAGCACGCCCACTTTCATGCTAACATGGGGACCCCGAAATGGAAGACTTGGTCCCATTTCCAAAGGCCTTCTGGGAGCTTCCATGTCAGTCTGAGGGAGTGTAATCGTGTGTTAATGGCATTTGTTCCTGGGCGATGCAATGACGCCCATCAGGCCCCAGGCATCAAGTGATACACGGAGTTGAAGATTGCAAAGCCTCAAACCGCGCCACTCGGACTTGGGAACGTACCAGGTTGACAGACATGATACAGTGACGTGTGATGTGTTTATCAGACAAACTCTTGTTCCAGGTGTCTGAGCGACACTTTGAAAGAAGCACATGTACCTCAAATTTGGCTGACAACTTTCACGTCAGCAATACAAAGCTGCTTTGACATAAGCTCTGGTGCTTCTACAAATTTGACGGGGGAAGGCAAACATAGTTGTAATTACTAACTGTGTGATGAAGCAATATTCAGTATTCATTTTGAGACAAGCAGCATTCATTCTGAGGACAGTCGTATTCCTCAACAGGAAACAAGAAATCAGCTAGTGCATGGAGTGGGTTTCCAGGAAGGATCAGGCCTGCTCCTGTTTCGTCTTGTTCGTTGGCAGAATGCTGAAGAGTGCTCAAACACGCTCAGCGCACACCGACATGTGTTGTTGTTTTAGCCCCTGTAACTACTAAAATGGCCTGCAGTGAGGGGGAGTATTAAGTATGGATCGTTGACCTCTCAAAAAAGAAAACAACATGACAAAACTCTTATAAGAAAAAACAACTGGTTCCTCAAAGGGCGGCCGCATCTATTTATGGATGGGATGCTCTCAAACATGATGGGTGGTGATCAAAAGGTGCTGTACATGGCATGACCACTGCACGAAACCACTCGAGAAATTGTGTTTACCATATGGGCAACAAATAGTCATGTGGGGGCCTTTCACGGAACATTGAGCAACCCCCATTGACAGACTGGTTTGTTTTCCCCTTCCAAACAATTCCTCTTTGTCGCGTTCTTTTTGTTGCTGGTTGTCAGCAGCGAATAACAGAATGATCCCGACAAAAACCATCCATCCTTTGGTTTCCTTTACTCGGGAATCCCCAAAACCGGCTCATTCCAACACCCGGACAAGATCATTCCGTACCTATCCCAGCGATCGCATGTTGTTTTTATGCGCCATCCTTCATAACAGCAGCCCTACTTAAAGGGGCATCGTACTTAGTAAGTGCTTAACAATCACGGTTATAACCCACTTAGGAGACTTAAACCTTATAACCGTGGCTTTTGTGGGCTATAACCCGGCTTGCCAACCACTTACCCCTTTAAGTACCGCAGCGCCGAGAAAAAAGAACAAGAAAAAGAAGCATGATGTAAAACAAATATTGTTGTTTACTGTCTTTAACATACAAACACATGTTATATATATATATATACATATATATATATTAAAAAAGAAAAACACTGGGCTTTGGGGCTGACCAGGAACTTGAGCGCCAAGACCTGTCCATCGAGTTGATGTTTCTTCGATCACCGAATCGCCATGTGTAGCTTCCGGTCAGATTTTCCCCAAGGGTTCAAGTTTTTTCTTGCCAGATTTCAGGGTCTCTTCAGGGTTCCTGAGGGTTTTCTCGGATTTTTGCCCCAAAGTAAATCTGTCAGAAGCAAACAAATCCAGTGGAATTCCCTGTCTCACTTCCTGCACTGGCCAGCAAAAGTAACCGAAGTTCTTATTTACCACTAAACATAGATGGCGCTGGTAAATGTTTGTAACCAAGCTGCAACAGCGCCACCTAGTTTCAGCTAGACTGGATCAAAAGGCCACCTATGAACTTGTCAAAAGGAAGGTCCTGGATTTGCAGCGGGACCCATCAACTACCGTGGGCCTATTTTGAGGCCCCAAATTGTGGAGGATGTGATGCCTTTTGTGATACGGTCGTCATTTTTTGAGGGTCCCCCCCATGTTTGTGGCTTTAAAGGGAAAACAAAGGAACACCACCAATTTGGGGGGTTCCCCTCACAAAAAGACACACCCACACCAAGGGATTCCCAACTGAACAAGGCGTCCCTTGCCCCCTTAAGTGTAGAATCATGTCCGCCCCAGGGGAGGGAGACTGTGGATGGACTTCTGCACCACCTACGAAACCCTGGTTGCTGATGATTCCCCTGGAAACACCAACCGAGTGCACAGAATGAGGATGAAGGAGGTGCATTGATGATCTGCTCAATGCCCGGATGGCCCACATGTCCGTAACCTGCAAATTGCGCTCTGCTCTGTTTCAAGCCGAAAGACAAACACCTCCGCAGAGCCTATCTCGATCTAACTTGATCTGTTGGAACATCTGCAAAGCACCTGCGTGGCATGCACACTTTTGGCTTCCTGCAGCAGCTCACCAAATCCAAGACGGTCCCATCCCACGCCACTGCCTGGAACCAAAAGAGATAGCGCACGATCAGCAAGTCTCAGTTTCGGCAGTTCTTTTCGAGCGCATCCGATGGGATCGTCTTTTTTGAGCTGGCAGCCCTTTTTGGTGGGGCTCAAACCAACAGGAAAATCAGTCATTTGTGGGGATCCCCTAATAAAAGACACAGCCACATATTCTTTGAACACCTCCAGTGTTCCTACTGTAGTGAGCTGAACATGGCGTTCCAATGGATCAGAGCTGCTGTCTTCAGGAGGAGGGAATGCAAGCCACGCCAAAACAAAAACGAGATACCGCCAAGCGGAAGGGACTGATGAACACACCGGCGTCTGAGCCGTGCGCACGACGGCGGCTTAGTGAGCGGAAAGATCCGGTCATAGGTCCTCAGTGCAGCAAGGCTGCCCCAGCCTTTTGAAAGTGCGATCGCTATAGGAAACGGCCCAGGCTCGTGGTGACATGGGTGGTCAAAAGAAAACCACCAGGAATTGGACCGCAGGTTTTAGGCTTTGGCTCCATTTGCCAGGGCAAGCCATTTTGGGTACCTATTCGTTGACCCATAGCCACATGAACCGGCTTGGGATTTCCGAAGCCGAAGGAAACTTCAAAGGACGGATGGACGGCTTTTGTCTCGAACCGAATTCTTCCAGTTCTCATTCGGGACCCCCATGGGCCCATCGACGCCGTCGAGCCGATCACAAGCTTTCTCCCCCGTTTCAGATCTCTCAGGAACCCGGGCAGCTTCGTGCATCGATCCGGGCTCGGCTCTTTTGCTTCCTGCTCTGCGCCGGCTGCCAGAAGTCAATGGGGCGATCTCCGGCAGGTCTTTGGGCGCTTCTCCCGTGCCTGAGCTGCAAATCTGTCAACAGTGACTCACTTTCAGCGGCTTAAATTCGGACTCCCCCCCACTAAACCAAACAAAAACAACCAAGAAACACCTTTCTGGAACCGGGCAAATCCGCAGGCTCCGAACCGGCAAGATACAGAGTCCGAGCGCGCCGGCGCCGCTCACAGAAAGCCAGCTGCGGCCTTCGCCTTGACAGACCACCGCGGGAGGAGCAAAGGTGCGGCCGAGAGCTTGAGCTGCAGGTTGGAGGTGACCAGACTCTTCTCAACGGTGTTTGCCTTCCTGGGCCAGGCAATATTCTGGGCCAAAAAAAAACATGGGTCTGCCTTGTGTGTGGGGCAACCCCGCCAAATTGGGTGGTTTTCCTTTTGGTTTCCTTTAAAACTAAACACAAGGCATCCTCCAAAAAGAGGAGCCACCCATCTAGCTTCTTGATGGTGAGTGTCAAATAGTGGCAAAACATATGTCACATGCCCCAACCAAATATAGGGTTCAAGATCTCGACGGGTTCTGCCACCAAGGTTCTGCAGCAGTTGGTTTACCTCATCCAGTGGGGTGCCAACATCGGGGTTCGTGGCGGATTGATTCCCCAGGAAGACATGCACCGAGCTGGCATCTCTGGAGGCCTCCGTCGCGGGTAAGGGCACCACGACATTCTGCAGGCGGTTGCCAAGCAATCGATCCTCCACCATGTCGATCTTGCTGTTCACCTGATCCGCGATGCGGTTCAGTTGAGGATCCACCTCGGACAATGCATACGGATCAGTCTGTTCTAACAACAAAAAGGCGGGGACTTGATGAAAGTCAGGACGATCGAGGTTTCCCTGAAAGTCCATCAAACATATCCCAAACTTAGATCCAAGACTTCGCCCCGAACCGCCACGCCTTGCTGTCGAAGCGGATATCCGCCAGCTTCAGGTCTTTGTCCATCAGCGGCACACCCTCCTCGCTGTAGCCCTCATCGTAGCCCTCGTCGTAGCCTTCCTCGTAGCCCGCCTCGAAGTCGTCCCCAGGCGGCGCTCCGGGCTCGCCGGCAGGCGCTCCGCCCGCCGCCGCCTCATCCGGCTCCTCGGTCGAGCTGATCAGTGTCATTGATTTGGGATGGAAGGGAGGGCCTTGAATAGCACGTGTGAGCGACTTTCTAGTTGTCCTCATGAAAAGGTGTACACTTCTAGAGGTGGGTTCTTAGAACATGTGGATTGGTCTTACAAAAAATCCTCATGGCAAGTAAGTACTTTTTCTCGAACGAACGCATGCAAAGCGCGCCCGGTAGTCCGCATCTGTCGTGGCCTGTTTTGCCAACATCAAACAAATCAATCAAAAGACCAACTCCTTGGAATCTGCCCATTCATTGAAGGATCATGGCATGCCCTGCTGAACCTATCTGTTTATGACAAGTATGCGTGATTGCCACCTCGAAGTGCATTTAAACAAGCGAAACCGCCCCTGCGGACCGGTCGAAACTAGCTTGTGAGCATGCGCGGGTACCAGCCAAGCTGTGACACAAGATGCCCGCCTCCGCCCGATCCTCTTCTCCGGCGTCTTCCTGAGGGCTGGTGGAGAAAAACGCGCCGCCCCCAAACCCGGGCAGAAGGAATCAATTCCGTGTTTTTTTTTTCACTGAGACCCTCAAAATCTGGTAGTCTCCGGATTTTACATCAAATTTCCATGATTTGGAAGATCCAGGAACACATGTTACAAATCCGCCGACATTGCTCGGCGTGTCGGATACCAAAGAGAGGACTATTGGATACCTAAGAGAGGATAGAGGATAACCCCCCCCTTAGTCCCCCCCCGGGACACGTCAAATACGCATGGCTTTTCGGTCCCCCCCCCCCCCTCCCCCCCTCCTACCGCGCGGCAATTTGATGACGTTCCACTAAACGTAGTCTTCGGGGAGCCGGTGTCGCAAAACAGGGGTCCCAGGCTCGATTCCCCCTGCCGGCTTTTTTGCTGGCTTGGGCTTCCTGCCGAAAATCTGGAAAACTCCATGTTTTTGGACGTCTTTCATACATCATCCATTGCATTCATTTCATACATTACATTCATTACATTCCTTACATACATTACATACATACATACATACATACATACATACATACATACATACATACATACATACATACATACATACATACATTCGTACATACATACATACATACATACATACATACATACATACATACATACATACATACATACATACATACATACATACATACATACATACATACATACATACATACATACATACATACATACATACATACATACATACATACATACATACATACATACATACATACATACATACATACATACATACATACATACATACATACATACATACATACATACATACATACATACATACATACATACATACATACATACATACATACATACATACATACATACATACATACATACATACATACATACATACATACATACATACATACATACATACATACATACATACATACATACATACATACATACATACATACATACATACATACATACATACATACATACATACATACACATACATACATACATACATACATACATACATACATACATACATACATACATACATACATACATACATACATACATACATACATTACATTACATACATACATACATACATACATACATACATTACATACATTACATACATACATACATACATACATACATACATACATACATACATACATACATACATACATACATACATACATACATACATACATACATACATACATACATACATACATACATACATACATACATACATACATACATACATACATACATTACATACATACATACATACATACATACATACATACATACATACATACATACATACATACATACATACATTACATACAACATACATACATACATACATACATACATACATACATACATACATACATACATACATACATACATACATACATACATACATACATACATACATACATACATACATACATACATACATACATACATACATACATACATACATACATACATACATACATACATACATACATACATACATACATACATACATACATACATACATACATACATACATACATACATACATAC